TGCTCGTGCTGGGTACCGCTGTGCTTGTGATAGGTACGGCTGTGCTCGTGCTGGGTACCGCTGTGCTCGTGCTGGGTACGGCTGTGCTCGTGCTGGGTACCGCTGTGCTTGTGATAGGTACGGCTATGCTCGTGCTGGGTACAGCTGTGCTCGTGCTGGGTACAGCTGTGCTCGTGCTGGGGTATGGCTGTGCTCGTGCTGGGTACGGCTGTGCTCGTGCTGGGTACCACCGTGCTCGTGCTGGGTACAGCTGTGCTCGTGCTGGGTACAGCTGTGCTCGTGCTGGGTACAGCTGTGCTCGTGCTGGGGTATGGCTGTGCTCGTGCTGGGTACCGCTGTGCTCGTGCTGGGTACCGCTGTGCTCGTGCTGGGTACCGCTGTGCTCGTGCTGGGTACAGCTGTGTTCGTGCTGGGGTATGGCTGTGCTCGTGCTGGGGTATGGCTGTGCTCGTGCTGGGTACAGCTGTGCTCGTGCTGGGTACCGCTGTGCTCGTGCTGGGTACAGCTGTGCTTGTGCTGGGGTATGGCTGTGCTCGTGCTGGGTACCGCTGTGCTCGTCCTGGGTACCGCTGTGCTCGTGCTGGGTACCGCTGTGCTCGTGCTGGGTATGGCTGTGCTCGTGCTGGGTACTGCTGTAGGGCGTATAGATTAGGTCTATATGCCCTACAGTAGGCTGGTATTGAAGCCAGATCTAGTAACATAAATTTCTCTCTAATACTGTATTGGATTTACATCAAATTATATATTTTTGGGTTATATATTTATTTTAGCAACATTATTAAGATTAATAAGAGCTATAAAAAATACTTATTTTAGAACCGATTTATTAATTTTATTACTTCGAAACTGTTGGTCACTGAACTGTGGCGACGAAATTGAATGAAACACGCATGGTGCTGTGTGCACATGGATTAGATCCATCCACTCGCCATGGAGTTCTTGTGCCAATAACATGAATAATTTCTCAAATAGCAGATGTCAATCATTTTATAGTATATATTTGGTTTTATTTAGTTCAGTTTAATTAGGATTATAGAGAGTTATTAAAACACCAGTTTTAGAAATGATTTTTTTATCTGAAACTTTCAAAGTCATGCGTCACAGAACTATGACGACACAGACGAAAGTGAGTGAAACCTCAGTGTAAAGTGAGGTTTACAGTACAGTATTCCCTTATCTGTCCACCCTTTATCTGATGTGAAACATCTTTCATCGCAGAAAATGTATATAAGAAGATTTCAACACATTAGCTAGCTATTCACGCATCAGCCTTTAAATTAATCTGCAAAGATACATGTGCCATAAATCGGTAAACGAAAATTGTTCACATTGAGCAAAAACGAAATCTGTGAACTCTGTCCACAGATTGAATGAAAATCTGAATGAAAATAATTAACGAAAATCTGTGAACTCTGTCCCAACATTGTAAGCAAATCCGCACATTTCCCGCTTTGGCGAACCATTGTTCATCAAAAAGGGGTGAGCAAATCTGGCCTGAAAAGTGTGCAACCTATCCTAAGATTCGTTAAATTGGGGTACGTTGAATCGAGGTTGTACTGTATTATTTTGTGTGCATGTTTCACAAGATGTGGATTCAAACTGATGATGTATATATTTGATGATGTATATTCTAAGATTGGTTTTTGTATTGGCTGTGATAATTGTCTTGGCAGAGTCCTTATTTATATTTTTACTTCCATTCATGTGCCTGCCAGTTTCATATGCAGTGTGTTATCCTGTTTGCACTTTTGTTTACACTTTGTCTTGGGGTGGCCCTTGTGGTTCCCCTGAAGCTATCTTGCTGAGATGGCTCCCTACTACTAGGTCACGTTAACGGTGGAATTCTATTTGGCCTATTGGGGGACCAGAGCTAGAACCTGGCCCTCCTCACAGAGGTGCAGAGAGCATGGTGACACTCCACAACATGACTGAGAAAGCATCTAGAGTCACTGAACCAGTATGGACCACTGCTGGATTAAGAGACTGAAGCCTAGAAACCACTAAATGAACTCCCTCATCAATGTAGATAGATAATCTAATCTCTCGAAACAAGTGCAAGCCCGTTGGCACTACCCCACTCCCATCCCAAATCAGTGGGGGGGGGGGGGGGGGGGGGCTCTCGGTGCCCACTGGTCTACCAAGTCAGTAATGTCGCTGATGCTGACTGTTGTCAATGTCCGCTGTTGGGCTCTGGGATATTTTTGGGTTTTGGGTCCAGCCAACCTCTTCCTTTGAGCTGTGGGTTCCTTTGGACTCCACTTTCTTATACCACGTTGTGGGCTTGGATTTCAACTCTGTCTCAATGTTTTTGTGTTTGGGTTCCTGAGTTGGGTGGGAGTCTGAGAGAGGACCTTGGGTTTCCTTGGATCTAAGTTGGACCTTTTTTCCTTATGTTCCTTTGTTCCTTATGTTCCTTTGTTCCTTGTTCCTTGTTGGACCTTTGGCCCTTTTACTTCAGAGTGGGAGGGGGGTTTTTATGTTTCCATTTCCATGTATAAGAGATCTTAATGCAGCTCTTCCCAGGATTCATTTCTGCAAGTTTCTTCCAGAGGTTTCCTTACTCTGGGGTTCCCTCGCTTTGTTGGCTTGCTTGGTATCTGATCCCAGGCCTCTTTCAGAAGATTGGCCCTGATGATGTACCTCTGGTTCAAACTTCTCTCCGGTTTTTCACATCTGATCTTTTGTTTCATTATCACCATTTCTACAGTGAGCATGTGCCTGAATTGATGATGTTCCACTGCGTTTGTCGTCCCGGCGGCAGTATGAGGTTTTTTTGGCACGCTCTTTCGCCACTTCCTTTCCTTATGTTGTTACTCCTTGGTCTCCGTTCACATGGTGCCTTCATTTCTTTCATGGTTGTTTCTTAATTGGCATCTCGTGCTGAATACTGTTGCCTCTTATCATTTGGTGCTGGCAGAGTCGATGCTGCTTGCATTCAGCATTGATACTTCCTTGGTGCCACTTCGGAATCTGTCTCGTGCATTGTTTCACCTCCGTCTTGCTTATGAACTGCCTGAATCCACTTAGTCCTTGGACCATGTACTTGCTTTTTTTTCCCCATCGTTTATGATGTCCCTTTTTGTTTAGGATTCATTTTTCAAAGTTTGCATAATTTCTGGTGTTGGCTCTCTGCCGCTACTTTTGTGCCAGGAGTTATGTTTCAGTGGATGCTATGTTGGTTGATGCAGTTTCCTTGGTTTCCTGTTCTTAGGCTTGTGTTTCTTAGGTTGTCTGCAGTATCAAAGTCCAACCAGCCTGCGGTCTACCTTCATGCCCATGATGTTCGGAAATTTGCGGCCACAGATTTGTATTGGTCCAGTATTTAGTTTGTTCCTGGGCCTTGTTGTGCCTCTGTCACCTTGGATTGTGTGTCTTGGCCTGGTGTCTCGTCTTTGTTCTGACTGCCTGCAGTTTCTCCTCCTTCCTGGTGAGTTGTTCTCTTTCTTCTCCGTAGTAGAGCTCCCTTGTGGTTCCCAACTTTAGGGAGATGCAAAGGGCTGCCCCAGAAACCCAGCATTGAAACCCAGGGATGCTGTAGTGCCTATGGCACCCCAACATTGGGGTGCCATAGGCACAATCGGAGAACACTGTATAAACATCAGAGGTCCACGGTTGTTTAACATCCTCCCAGCGAGTATAAGAAATATTACCGGAACAACCGGCAATATTTCAACAACAACAACAGTATTTCAACAAGAACAACAACAAATATTGCTGGACATCTTCAAGAGAAAAACTAGATAATTTTCTCCAAGGAGTGCTGGACCAACCTGGCTGTGGCGGATATATGGGCCTGCGACCCACTCCAAGCAACAGCCTAGTGATCCAAGCTTGGGAAGTAGAATAATTCCCAGAACCCCATCAAGAAGGTATCGAGCAGGAATGTAGCAAAATGCCTCTTTCTGGGTGAGCTCCCCGATTCCCTCCCCCCATTCCAGGTCATTATTTTTTTGTTTTTTTATTTGTGCATCTGCTCCAGAGTCGGCTTAGTAAACAGCTGGACACCAGGGGCTCTGCCCCACTGGTGGGGGGGGGGGGAGGGGTTTGTGATGATGAGCTTATGCTTGTTTAGAAAGATTTGACAGTTTACATTGTTGGGGGGAATTCATTTATTGGTTTTGAGCCTTTGGTATTTTTTAATCCAGCTGTGATGTGTGTTGGTTAGCTGACCTTCTGGATGCTTTACCCGTGGGGTGGTGGAATATCACCTGCTCTATGCCCCCTCATACATAATAAGAGAACAGGGGTGACGCCGAGGAAAATAATACTCACATTTCCCCCCCAAAATATATATATGTGGCCCCCCTCGCATATATATATATATATATATATATATATATATATATATATATGTGAGGGGGCCAGGTACTGGCACTGGTCCACGGTAGGCCAGACATAACTCCACGGCTGATGTGACCTAGTAATAGGAAGGCATTTCAGCGAGATGGCTTCACGGAGCCACCTGGGCTGCTCACCTTGAAAGAGATGCTTCGTTACATTCAACGCTTGTGTGTGCGCATGCGTGTGTGTGTCCGTGCATGCTTACATTCGTACTTAACTTTCTATGAAGTAATGAGACATAGCTCCTGGGTTCTGCTTTTTAGCTATCTTGTTTGCAAGCATGTGCCTGTATATATGTATGTATTATATATGCTGTATATTATTTGTTTCTCTGTTTAACAGTACTGTATTTCATTCTATTTATCCTAAAAAACTTTTTGTAGCTGTTTTGTGCCTATGTTCATTGCAATTTATTTTTACATAACAATACTGTATTCCCAATAAATAATATTAATTTCTGTTTTTATTTTAAAGATGCTATTTATGTTTATTTTCTGACCGAGTCAGGATATTATTACTGTGTGTATGAATTTCTTCTCTTCTAATTCTAATTAGAATTAAAGAATTCTAAGATAACTAAATTGGACTTGTTTTAAACTGTATTTGCATTACTGGTAATAACCCCATCTTAACATTTCATTTTTATTTTTTTGTAACAGTACGTTTGAAGCGGCATTTTATGTGGCGCAATCACCTATGCCTGGTCTTCGAGCTGTTATCTTACAACCTGTACGACCTCCTGCGCAACACTAACTTCCGTGGCGTGTCACTCAACCTGACTCGTAAATTTGCGCAACAACTCTGTACCGCTCTCCTCTTCCTGTCTACGCCGGAGCTTCAAATAATCCACTGTGATCTAAAGCCGGAAAATATTCTACTCTGCAATCCAAAGCGGAGTGCAATTAAGATAGTGGATTTTGGAAGTTCTTGTCAAATGGGGCAGAGGGTAAGTGTCTTAGAGGCTGTAATCGTAGTTATGAAGGAAAAAGAAATAGTGGAAGCATATAGTATTGGCAAATTAACTCACAGTATACATATTTACACAATGCATTTTGAAACGTTATTTTGTAAATATTTGGATCCGCAAACTGTTGAAGCTCGGTAAGAGACCTTTATTGGGAAATTTTGTACACAATTTATGCTAGAGATGTGCTTACTTGTTACCTAGCTGAACTATATAGAGTAATGGAGGGTTTGGGATTAAATGTGTGTAGATATAGTCATTAATGGCATTGTGAACATGTAGATATTAAGTCTTGTGTTAATCATTTCTTATTGCTAGTTGGAACACAGCGACTTACTTTAGTTTATAAGAATATTTTTAGGAATGCATCATAAATGTTGCCTTTAAATAGTTCACATTTACTTTTGCTTCTCCAGAAGTCAAATTTGGAGACCGTTCCTCACTAGCATATGGAAGATTTATATTTCACTCCTGTTGCCTTATTTGTGAAATATTTATATTTGGCTCCTGTTACCTTAATTTTTTATTAAATTTAGGTATGTGTTCTTTGAGCCAAAGTAACATTTCCCTCATAAGACATGGACTTGGGATTAAGTTACATTTCCATATAATATTACAATATTATGTTTCCAACAATATTACTGGCAATCTGTGTGAGATCACCTTTTATTACTAAGAAATAAGCAGATAACACCACTGATTTCTTCACTTCATATTTTATGTTGGGTGGATAAGTTCGACTTGCCTTATGAATACAAAAAATCACTCCTTTTTCCCTGTACGTACCTATCTTTTTGTCTCCTCGGATCTTGTTTCAATTATTGGGCTGAGTGCAGGCCGCAAATGAGATAAAGTATACTCTGTATAGTAGTATATGTATATAAAATATATACAATATATGTATATATTTTGTAAAGCCTGAGAATCTGGCATGGGTACCTCAGTGAACATTATTTCTTTGAAGACACTTTGCATTATTGATGTTCATTTTGTGTGACTTGACACTTGGTTTATTTTCCAGATATATCAGTACATTCAGTCACGCTTCTACCGGTCACCTGAGGTATTGCTAGGAATTCCTTATAATATGGCCATTGACATGTGGAGTCTTGGCTGTATACTCGTGGAGATGCATACGGGAGAACCTCTCTTTTCAGGGGCCAATGAGGTGAACTACTTGTGTTTGTATTTTGAACTGTTTGAATGTTTTTGTTCATTATTTTCCTTGATCTAAATTTTATCCAGAAGTCATACAAATTCTTAACTATATTTTGAATATAATCTGTTGATTTTTATTAGGATTTAACATACATTCTAGTGTAATAAAATGTTTGCCTTCTAAGTATTTGATAAAATGGAATTTTAAATTTTTTTTTTACAGGTGGACCAGATGAATAAAATTGTGGAAGTGTTAGGAATGCCTCCCAAGCATATCCTAGACATGGCCACAAAAGCTCGGCGTTATTTTGATAAATTGCCGGACGGGACTTATATACTTAAAAAACCTAAAGACGGCAAGAAATATAAGCCACCAATGAGTCGTAAATTGCGGGACATTATTGGAGTTGAAAGTGGTGGGCCAGGTGGTCGGCGCTTGAACGAACAGGGTCACTCTGTTTCTGACTATCTCAAATTTGAGGATCTGATAAAGAAAATGCTTGACTATGACCCAAAGACGAGGATTACTCCTTATTACGGCCTGCAGCACAACTTCTTTAAACGGACGAGTGATGAATCCACAAACACTAGCAATTCAACCAGTCCAGCAATTGAACACACTGTGGCCTCTCCTATCAGTCATTCAACCTCACAACCTGGTTAGTATTATTGATGTGTATTTGATACTTGCATGTAATTCCATTGAGTAATCCCTTGATGAAATGTTTTAGATGTTTGAAGCATTTGTTAATTGTCATTAGTAATAGATATACAACACAGTATATGGAAGGGAAAATTACTCTATGGTCTTGTTGAATGTATTTAATTCAGGAAATTCTGAGATTAAAACATATAATGATATGTATACTAATATGCTATACTTGATAAAATAAGGAAATATGAAAGGCGGGAATTGGACGTTGTGCTAATCTGATCGGCAGACCCATGGTTAGGTAAGGAGTGTTGTTCAGTTTAATATACATGTTATTGTGCATTTGCACATTAACATGAGAACCTAACAGTTTATTTGTGCTTTGCGGTACATGTTTGGTTCTGGGGGGAGAGCCACTGAAGCCATCTCGCTGAGATGGCTCCTAACTATTAGGTCACATCAGTCGTAGAGTTCCGTTTGGCCTACCAGGAAAGCATCCAAGAAGTCAGTGAACCAATACAGACCACAACGGATTTAAAGAGACTGAAGTCACAAAACTGCCAAATTCACTCCCCAGCAATTATAAACAAATGATGGAATCTCTTGTAACAAATGCAAGCTCACCAGGTTCCTGGTAAACTGGCAGAAGTCCCAGTTGGCGCTGCCCCCAGTTCAGACTTGGCTGGGCCTCATGTGAGACTTCCAGTCGGCCTAGCTTTCTCTTCCTCTGGCAAAGACTTGGAATCGACTGCAGCATTGCTGCCCGTGGGTGTTGAGGCATTCCCAGGTGACTCGAGTAGTTGTTTGGGAATCTGAAATTTGCCTGCGTATTTTTTTCTGGACAGTGTGCGGTTTCAGGAGCTGTCCTTCCTCTGGTTCCACCCCCTTCCACCTCTGCCATTGGGTTCAAACCCCAATTGCCCTTTGTAAGTTGATACATTGGTGGGTTCCTCTTTGGGATTGTCAAGGTCCAGTTACAGTACTTGATGCCTTCCTCCACCCCTGACTCGACATTATGGATGTGTTGGCTCTGGGTTGGAGTAATGGGACATTGGCTGGTTTTGTTCCATCAGGTGCTGTGTAATATGCCATAAGGGGGATTCAAACTTTTTTGGATTCTGTGCTCAAGCTTCATTCAGACTGTTCCCAGGTGGTTTATTGTCTCGACTGGGGGAAGAGAGGCTTCCTTCGGTCCATTGTCCTTTGGAGCTGGAACTGGATGTTGCGGGTAGCTCCAAACGCTAGCTTCTCAGGATTTGATTCTCCATGCTGTTCATGTCAGGAAGGGCCCAACTCACAGGTCGCACTAATGGTCTGTTCTGGTTCATTCCTATGTCTATGGAGTAAATCGTTGACGCTGCCTTCTTACAGTGGCTTTGTGAAATTTTCGGGTGCCCCAATGTGGATTTCTTTGCATCGGTCTGGAATCAGCTCCTTTCCTTGATCATGCAGCCCTCTTGGTGGATGGCTCTCAGTCGGACTGGTCACAGAGGAGGTTTCTATACCTCTTTCCCCAGGTCCTGGCCAGGATGGAGTTCTACCAGGAGAGGGTGGTCTTTCTGTCTCCTTGGTGGCCGGCTCGACTTTAGTTTCAAGCACTGCTTGCTCTGTGTCTGAATATGGGTATTATTTCTGCTGCTCTACCTCTTCCAGAAGTTCAACCTATTGACACTGGTTCAACTTGCTTGTCAACTCTCCACACTGGGTCTTCTGAAGTGTCTTTCTAGCCGTCTTCATGGCGAGCGGGTGGTTGAATTGATGGTGTCCTACCTACATTTGTCTGTTTTCCCAGAGACTGAAGAATGTTGACAATCTTTTTGCCATTTACTTTCCCTTTCGTCATTCGTCTTCTGTCTCCATTATTGTGGTCGTTTCATTCCTTTCTTAGTTGTTTACTGACTGTCATCTCATGCTAAATGCTGTTGCCTCTTATTGTTTGGTGTTGGTGGTGCTGCTACTGCTTGTATTTAGCATTGATTCTTCTTGCTACCATTTTGGAGGCCATTTTGCATGTAGTTTCACTTCTGGCTTGCTCATGCACTGCCTCAGCCCTTTTGGTTCTTTGACCATATCCTCGCTTTTCTTTCCTCTCCTCAGTTTTCTGGTACATCCTTCAGTATGGGATTTTTTTTTTTTTTTACAACAGTTTTCTTGTTGGTGCCTCACCTTCAGTTATGAGGTTAGGGAAGTTCCTGCAATTTTTCCAGAGGCATGATTTTATTCTTTTAGCTCTGGTCGTTCATTTTGCTCGTCTGCAGCCATCTCCTTTTCTGGTGAAGGTTGAGTCAATGGGTTTCCAGAAAGAGCATTTGGTTATTGATAGGTTGTTGGTTCGGCCGGGGGGTGCATCATGTGCTATGTCCAGTGACGGCTGTTCACCCCTACTTTCATGCAACAAATTCTATGTCAATCCTGTTTGGGTTGAGTTTCTCACCCTAGTGCTTCATCTTCATGTTTCCTTGGTTTCTCCTCCTTGGTGTGTCCCTCATTTTCTTCACCGTGAGTAGTTAACTTCTGAGAGCGACAAGGGCTACCCTAATAAAAAAAACATTGAATGTAATGAAACGCGTGTCTCTGGGTGAGTCCTGGTGGCGCCCCGATTTCCTCCCTCCCTCCCTTCTAGGTCGTCGGTTGGTGGATGTCGTCTGTACATCTGCTTCAGAACTTGTATGGAAAACTGTGGGGGACTGGAAACGTGCCACCTCTGCCGCCACCCTCCCCCCCTAAACTGGGGGGGTGTTAACGAGCTCACACATTGTTTCTAGAGATTCGATCATTTACTTACATTTGGAGGCGTTCATTTTTTTTTTTTTTTTTTTTTTTTTTTTTTTTTTTTTTAATTCAGCAGTGGTCTGCTAGATTCAAAGAGCAGCGGAGGAGATTATTTGATTAGCTGATATTTCTACATGCTTTCCAGGTAATGGCACTGTCACCCGCTCTCTCCCTTTTTTATGAGGGGGTGCCAGGTTTTTATTCTAGTTCTCGATAGGCCACACAGAACTCCAGCCATCTCAGCAAGATGGCTTCAGGGAGCTACTGGGGGCTCACCCATAAAGATTATATATATATATAATCTTAGTATATTTTGGTAGCAGGCAGTCTTGCAAACATATGTTGCTGAATATGACCGAAAGGGGAAGATTAATTATTATAATACGAATCTTTTCAATATTTCTTGTGTTTTTCATCATTGTCGGGGAAGTTGAAAATGAACTCTCCAAAGTTCATTTTCACACTTTTATTTTTGGTCTGATGCATATTGCAAGGTTCTCAAAAACTAATTTACCATGCTTTTGTACTGGCTTATATTCTCTTTGGATGAGGTGGTACAGAACAAGTGGATGAAACAAATGGATGAATGGTATAACATAAAGGGATATTGATACGGTATTAAATGCATCAACGTAAACAGCTTAAGTTCTTGCGGCTGCTTGTGTTTCTAAGGCAGGGTCATTGGATCCTGTCTCTGCATTGGCTCGGGGCCTTGAAGTGGGTAGAATGTAATTGTGTTAACTGGTTGTTGGTTGCTGGTCTTGACTTTTTGATGTGTAGTGCCTCGGTGATGTCCAGTATAATGGCAACAGAAGACTGTGTATGAACTGCTTAGCCACAGTAAGTACAGCATCTCTTGTGTTAATAATTGTATCTCTGTCGACAGTTGTATGTCTTCAGTTGGAATAAGGAGCCCAAGAGCACCTGAAGAAAGTTTCACACTTCATGTCACCCAAGTGTATGGGCACGACAGGATCTTGCCAAGCCCCAAAGGAGAAAGAGCGTTGGCAGCCAGCCAAGATGAGTCCAGAACCACTTAACACTTTCATGCTCTAGCATAGTAAAGTAAAATTTGAGTTGCATCATAGTAAAAAAAGATGATGCAACTCAAATTCAAGGAAAGCAGGACCCATCACAGAAGTGAGGTTTGAATTCTGCAGGAGGTACTGCAAAAGGTCTTCAGGAGTGTCCAAAGGGAGACTCGGGAAGAGGGAACCTCTGGAAAGACAAATCTGCAGAACTGAACAGCACATGGAAATGTATCCTGGGGGAGAGCCACAGTTAAATCCAGCTCATACCAGTCTGGAGGATATGAGAATTCCTCTCATGTTAGCATATGATGCTTTTTGGAAATAACAAAATGTCAAGAAGAATCCAGGAACATCCAAAAACTACAAGCAGATATTAATAAGGTTTTTGACTGGGCAGCAGAAAATAACATAAGTGATAAATTCCAGGTACTCGGGTACGGTAAAAATGAGGACCTTATACATAATACAGGGTACAAAACACAATCAAATGTGCCCATAGTAGGAAAGCAGCATGTAAAGGATTTGGGAATAATGATGTCTGACGACCTAACTTTTAGGGAACATAACCAAGCAAATATTGCGTCAGCCAGAAAAAATGATAGGATGGATTATGAGAACTTTCAAATCCAGGGATCCCATCACAATGGTTGTACTCTTCAAGTCACTTGTGCTGTCTTGTCTTGAGTACTGCTCAGTACTCACTTTTCCCTTCAGAGCAGGAGAGATTGCTGAAATAGAGGGAATACAGAGAACATATACAGCATACTTAGACACGATAAAGCACCTAAATTATTGAGATCATCTCAAAGCTCTCCAAATGTTCTCACTAGAAAGGAGATGAGAGAGATACCAAATAATATACATGGACAATACTGGAGGGACAGGTCCCAAATCTATGCAGTAAAATAACAATGTACTGGAGTGAACAATATAGAAGAAAATGCAGAATAGAACCAGTGAAGAGCAAGGGTGCCATAGGCACAATCAGAGAACACTGTATAAACATCAGAGGTCCACGGTTGCTCAACATCCTCCCAGTGAGTATAAGAAATATTGCCGGAACAACCGTGGACATTCTTCAAGAGAAAACTAGGTAGTGTCACCCGCTGACACTATCCTACACCTGTGCAGTGTAGGTTCAAGAAGTGCCGGACCAACCGGGCTGTGTTAGATGTGTGGGCCTGCAGGCCGCTTGAAGCAACAG